TTTCACAAATAACGCATTCGTTTACAGAGATAATGCTCAAAAAATCTCTTGCAAAATACAGGTATATTTTCAGCAGAACGGCTTAATACCAGAAACGTACGAATACACCAAATACAATGTTAACTGCGCATGAACGAACGTGTGAAAATATTGCCACGAATGGTAAATATAGATCAGACAATGGTTCCAACACGGAAACGAATTTCCATTTAAATGATTCAAATAAAGATTAACTGGCCCTCTTTATGTTGAAATCGATAGATGAATTAAACATTTTTGCAATTACTTCAACGTGTATGCGTTAAATGTGTACGTTGATATGCCGTTTGGAATTAAAGTGAAATTGAAAAGTGTAAAAGAAATAAAAGTTATTGTAAAAAAACTTTGGATGTCGTTTTGGTTTATAGTTTTTGAAATAGAATGCAAAATAAAAGAACGAAAATATACACCTTTTTTCTTCTAGAAACTATACCGGATGTAAGAGGTTCGAACTTCAAATGTAATCAAATGTGCTGCATAAATGTGATTTTCGAAAGTACCAAGCTAAGCTCCATAATACCTTCACAACAACATCTAATTTATATTTGGCTACATTTCAATCAAAAAAGGATTCGTCCAATTTGTACAATTCCATAGCCGCCTTACGGCTCATTCTCTAAATCCACTGTCTGCATTTCGGGGATTTTCATGTGGTTACAGGTACATTTTACCACGTACACATATAAAATTTCGTCGACCTTTAAACGGTGAAAAGAAAAATGTTGTTCGAATTTAGTCGAAATTTACATTTATTTTATAAATGCCAGACATGAATTCAGCACCATTTTTGAGGTGAACCACTTTGGCAAGAATTAGATATGTGCAAACACGTCCATTTGAATCGGTGCGATTTCGAATTTTCTAAATCCAAAATGTAAACCTGTGCAAGATAGGAGAAATGTTACATTGAATTTATGGTCGTCGGCCAATGGCGATAAAAATTTAAAATACATTAATCTTTTATACGCTACGAAATCTCAAAAACCACCGATGGTTATTGAGATACCATAAAGAGACCATTTCAAAATCATAGCAACCATAAATAAATCATCAACATTATTAAGGGAAATAATAATATATTTTATATGCATCATATGATATCTGTCCCATTTCGACGAATTTCACAATTGTTGATATTATATAAATTGAATTAAATATAATGTAATTGGACATTTTTAAGTGTTAATGAATTTTTATTTTTTTATTTCATTGATTTCAATCGGGATGATAATATGAATGGCAGTACATACACTTTTTTATGGATGCTTTAAAAATAATTACCAGCTCATTTTTCACGCTTATTGCGTTAGCCGCAGCGAATCATGGTTTTTTAGTTTTGCACACGAACAATGGTATATGTAAATTCAGTGCCGAGAGTCGAAAAGAACATGTAAATCGTGATTTCAATCGCTATTATTGCAATTGGGTCGAAAAATGTCAGTCAAAAGGTAGCATAGCTGGTAAATGAATTGTGCAATATTTCCAATAACCTTCGCTAAATGATTTTATGTCATTGAGCTCATGATAAATCTTTCACATTGTTCGGCTCATTGCATTGTTAGTCTTTTGGCCAATAATTTTATGCCAGACCATGAATGGCAGCGTTTTGTTTTCAATTTGAAATTCAATTCAAGTTTGCCCGCATATTTACACTTGATGCAGTAAATTGATAATTTATTCAACGCTGGGAATGTCTATCACATTGAAAGTGTATCTGATAAAAGCTAGGACGAAAGTGGATCAAAATGCTATCACAGATAGCGCGTTATCGACGACACACTTAAAATAAGTATCATTTTAAGTGATACGACAAGTACACATACTTCTGGGCAACAGGATTATTATTAGCAGCTTATCAGGCAATGTGTAAACAATTTTGGCAATTTATCCATCGAATTGGCTCAGCAAATTGATTACTGAAATGGATTTTAACGGATTTATTATGCTTCTGGCACATCACATTGGAGCTCAATTTTCCGCTTCAATAGTTTTATCAACTTTTCTTTGGTGCGTTTAACAAATGATCAAACATTTTATGGCAAACAGTCGGCTCAAATCCACTGAATCAAGCCAGTCTATCATCAAATTCAATCAAATTGAATTATCAAATACGGAGAACATTAAAAATGCGCATCGTCCAACTTTTCAGTGGCAGCGTTGACGAATGTCAATTTTCTGTCAAAACAAAACCAAAGACCATGAAAAATATAATAAAAAAAGTAAAATTGATGAATAAGATAAACTTTATCTGATAAAGTATATTTTTCGTTATTAAATTTCACAATACAAGAAAACAGAAAACCAATACAGCGATAAATACGTGTTTATTTTTCAATGCTTAAATATGACATTGAAAATTGAGTAGACCGTGCGAAGGAAACACAAATCGAAACTAAACATTCCGAAATGATTGGCCTAAAAAATCGAACATTCTTTGGTCGGATTTAAGTTAACGCTTCAATGGATTCGCTATCTCTCCTTCCTCGTCTTGGCTGTTAGGGGAATAAAACATTGGCAAACGGCAAAATAGCGTCAAGCACGATACTCAAAACTGCGTTGTCATTGAAAGTGAAACCTTTTAATAGGATTTGTTTTCTTTTTCGTCATTGTTCGAATTCTATTCTACTGGTGGGTTTTTCAAGTCTGCCTTGCCATCAAATGTATCCTTTGTTTTTGTTCTGATTCTTCTTCTAAATTGTTTGAGAGTCTTTTCTCGCTTGTTTCTCATTTTGCGATGGATTTTTTTTGCCACTTGTTTCGATTTTCGATGATTTGTATCTACTGACTGTCGTCTATTGCTTGGTGGTTCTTCGGTTGAGTTTTAGTATTTTTGACAACATGAGTTTGTGTGACATGTACGATGTCAGCTTCATTGGCTGCCATAAAATGTGCACGTTGTTTTATTCGCCGTTTTTTTGTAGAATATCCTTACGTATTTACTACACAGTGTCATGACGCATTCTTTTTACAAGACTCGGTGTTACATGCTGAATAATTTTTGATTCGATTACGACATTTAATAGATTTATTTGAGCACGACTGACTTTCATCGGAAAATAAACAAATAGGCTAGGCCACCTTGATTGCATTCCAAGCCTATAGATAATAATTTTTCGTTGTTTTAAATGTCGATTGTGTAAAAATGAATGTCATTTTGTAGTTAGAGCATCAATCATTCAAATTATCGACTTTTTCCATCGTTTATTTTGTCTGCAACATTTTTTTTTTTGATGTAAAAGTAGCAAGATAAATTAGTGACTTGATGCGCAGCTTGATGTGCAGAGAACATTGGCATTTAATAAAATTTGGCACATGACATGTAAGTGGCGTTGAAAAAGAAGAAGATTAAACGAGAAGAATACTGACAACAAAAGCCCATCCATAGAAGAAAAGAAATGAAAATAAAAAAAAACTGCGACGAATCAAATGGAAAGTGTTCTGTCATGAGCGAATCCTGTTTATCGCCAGCAGTCATAACTTATCTATTCTATATGATGATATTTTTTTTTACCTCTATCAGGCATAACAGATTGTTTATACGAAGTTCAAAAGCATGCACTCATATGAATACTTCAGTGATGACATCAGTTTATATGTGACAACATTCCATGGTCATGCTATCGACGGCTGCATTTATGCCAACTTTTGCATGTCTTGGTAAATGTAAATGCTTTTAAGTACATATTTTGTTCGCAACCAAAGTTTCAATGGCCAAGCCGTAGACTATCTTGTATGTAGGATATGATGAATGTAATCGTCAAGTGGTTGCCATCATTTTTATTTTGATGTTTTTCCATCGTCGCATTTGTTAATGGTTTCTGTTTTTTTTTGTGTAATTTTTTTCTTCATCATTGTGCAGATGAAGTGAGTTGACGCTAGCAGATTTCTTTAGTTTGAGTTTTGCACTATGTTAAGCAATATGTACACGTAAATATGCATGCATGAAATAAAATTGCGCCGAAGAAATAGCACGATGATCACGAGGTTACAGCCAATTGAAGGTTGATGATCCACCAACTCAAATGAATGGATCTAATCTATTTCCATGAAACGCAATAAATTCAACGCAAACATTGCCACTTCTTGTAACAATATTTAATGTACCTCGTCTGCAATACTGTCGCGTTACATGAGGGGAGACGTATCAACGAAATTGCCATGGAAAAGTCCCGTAAAAAAACATTTATTCTAATGTTCATACGCAATAAGGAAAAATTCGTAGAGGGATGCATACTCTGATTGGATTTTTACGAAAAACAAATAAAAAAGAACTATAGATGATAAATAGAAAATAGAGACAATGAAACAAGGATGATAAACGGAAGCAAGATTTTGTTGGAAATGTAATCGGTAGAAAGTACCTGTATGATACAAACAAAAATCTCAACCTTTCCCTAATATATGGCAAAACAACTTTTGACGCACCGATTTAAACGCACCAACGATATTTTCAACAGATTTTCGTTTTCACATTTTTTTATCCATATGATTCTTTGGTGCTCATTTTTCTTCGGCAATATAATATTTCATCGCTTCGTATTCCAAGGCTTAATATATTCAAAAAATATTGTATGGATCTGAGCACTTGTCACATACGAGACGCGGCGAAACATCTCTGTTTTTTGCGTCTTTTTCTTTTTGGGTGTCGACACCCCTAGTATATAATGTGTTTGCTTTAGACATCTTTTATGATTGAAAGTGTGAATAAGGGCTATCAGTATTCGATGAAAATGGAGTGATTCGTTTCCATTTGGTAAAGGGTAAAAACTATTTGAAATGAAAATTGAAAAAAATTCACACCAACCTTCATTTGTGTTTTAATTTTATTTTTTAAGTGATTTTTCTTCAAAACGTTCACACATTAGTAATAAGCTACAGTTTACATAATTCACACGATGAATATAAAATAACACATCTCAAAATTATGACACATAACTATAGAGAAAGGTTAATGATTCGTTAATGATGAGGAGACGCTGGGTTAGATTCGATTAAATCGATTCAAATAATTTTGCAGGCAAATCCAAAAGTAAACAGAACGATGGCAGCAATCAGCATCGAACCAAATATGATTATCCGTGATAAAATCTATTTAATTATTAAAAGGGAATTAGTTGAATAATTTGCTATACGAGTAAAATCAAAAACAAAAAAACCACCTTATCTTGCCACTTTCGATTATCAATACATCGCTTATACGGCATGTGAGAGAATGAAACCGAATTGTATAGAGGAATCCAGTATTTTGGAATATTTCGATATAAAAAATCATCCAAGAGTTTACGAAGGCGGTAAGATTTACTCCGCACCAAATCTCGCATCTGTTTGGATATTGAAAAGATATATGTTACTTTTGGATACCAATACATTGACATTTTGCATAAAAACCTCAATGTAGTTGTACATGGCCAAATCACAAATGGCTTCAGCATCTTCGTGCCGAGAATCGCTGAATTCTTTCAGTGCAATTCTAATACAGTTATGATGACGGTCGAGAATTTCACCAAGCAATCTACAATCTTCGAAGCCAGCATTCATTCCTTGGCCGTAAAATGGCACCATTGCGTGAGCTGCATCGCCCAACAACAAAATATTTGGATCAACATAAGTTGGACGACACTGTACAGTTAAATTTAAGATAAAGTTTTTTTTAAATACACTGGTGTCTTAACATTCGAAAAAATGCGCTAGTGTTACCTTAATCGATATCAGATGTTGTGGTTTTGCTTTGAAAAAATCGTCAATCAAGCGTTGTTTACCAATCAAGTTGATGGCGTCTGGGAAATATTCGGTGAAAAATGTTAAAAGATCGTCAATTTTTACAATTGATGCAAAATTTGAAAACGGCATGAACAAAGTAACAGTCCAAGATTTATCTTGATTTGGAAGTGCAATCATCATAAATTTTCCGCGTGGCCAAATATGCAAATAATTCACCTCCATTTGAAACTGAAAAAAGTCAGAAAATAGATTTTCAAAAAATCAAGATTTTTTTTGGTTAACGTACCTCCCTATTGACAGGTGGTATGCACAATTCAATGTAGCCATGGTCGATGTATGTTTGGCTGAAATCAAATCCGGGCACTTGTAACATATAACGACGCACTGTGCTAAATGCCCCATCGCAGCCAACAATTAGGTCACCCGATACATTTTCGACCCCATCGTTTTTTTCGCTTTGAAATTTACATGGACATTAGACATGTCAGCTTAATATTTATCAATTACAAAGATAAAATTACTCACTCGTGAAATGTTACCTCACACTGTCGCAGTTTTGCTGATTTCATTTTTTTATTGAAATTCAAATGAATATTCGAATACTTCTCGGCTTCTATAATGTGTATTTGGATGCATAATTTATTTAATTTATTTCATTTCTTCTATCTTTTCACTTACCATTTAGTAGAATTTCATTCAGATATTTACGACCAATCGAATAAATACACTGAATATATTAGAACAAAATCACGTATCGTATAGTACAGTATTAACTCAAAAGGTACCGATATTGAATTTCAAGTAAGAAGAATACCAAGTTTACCTGGTTTGTGTTTGGGTCGTAAGGTACAGCTTGTGTTTCACCGCTAAGATCATGTAACATTCGGCCACGCATTGGTATGCCATGTTTTAATAATTTTTCCTCCAATCCAACTTGAGCCAATGCCTTTCGACCACGAGCAGAAAGCGCCAAATTAATACTTCGCCCTTGAACTAGCTCAGCTCTACGGATATCTAATGGAAACAAGTTCATTTTATAAATGTGGTAATCAATAATGATTCAAAAAATAGAATGAGTTTTATGGCATTGAACTATTTTAGAGAAAATATTACGGCATACCTTCGCGATACTCATATAAATGAACATTGTGCCCTTTCTTTGCAAAATTTATTGCTGCCAATGAACCTACCTATTGTGTAATAAAACAAAATCAATAAACACTTATTTGAATAATATTCTACCCATATTGTATTTATAATTTTACAAAAACTGTTTCTTAGAACAATATATGTGAGATGGAGCACTCTGAGGAGCCGGAGGATCACCGAGGAGCAGAGTTCCTCTTTAGTGAGGATCAACATATCAAAAGTTAAAAAACGTCTGAAATTGTAATATTATCATCAATTTGAATTATTAATGCTAATTAATATTGTTGAGCTCTGCACCTTGGTGCTACTCCAGCTCCTCACGTAGTCTGAGAAGGAGTCTCGGTGGAAACTTGAAAAATGTTAATCAATCAAAAAATTACACACACGGGAATAATGTATAGATTATTAGTATAAATGATTTTTTTTCTTAAATCTATACAAAAGTTTAGATATCTCAAC